AGTGTGTGAGCTCTGAGAGTGTGAATGGAGGTGGAGAGAGAGAGAGGGGGAAAAATAGAAAAGAAAACCTAGGAAGAAAGTGCTTTCACATCAGTCTAGACGTGATCCGTTTAAAAAAATGGTGAACCAACAACCAGGGAGCCTGCATGGGACTGATCTAGGCCCTGTGTATATATGTTACATTTGTGTAAATAGGTCTTCTTGTGACACTTCTAGCAGTGAGAGCAGGGCTCTCTTTGACCATGCTGCCTACGTTTGAGACCCGTTCCTCCTACTGGATCACCTCATCCAGCCTTGATAGAACAGCAAGTGCGAAGTCTCACTGCAGCTTGATAGACCATGGCTGACTGAGCTGCATGGGAAGCCTCCATTTTCTGAAGAGAAACAGAGGAGGGTATGTGGTGGGGTAGGTTTGGGGGTTGGAAGTGAGGGACTGGGAATAGCAGAATGGGGAGAAACTTTGGGTGGGATCTAAAAACAAAAAAAGAAGAAAGAAATAAAACAAAAATAAGGTTCATTAACAATTTTTTAAGGACATCATACAGCCACACTGGTGGTTATATTTTGTTTCTTTTCCTTTTTGTTCTTCCTTTTCATGTTTGTTTTAATATTGTTGTGTTTTGTTTGGCTGTCTGTTTTAATATTTGTTTCAAAGCCAGTGAGTAGCTTAAAATGTAAAAAATTAGTGGGCCTGTTGGCACAGTCCTGATACCACAGCTACTTCAGACACTGTTGCACGACAATATAAAATGCAAAATTTTAGTAGCTGACGCATTGGTTCCAGGCCATTATGGACAAATTAGTGAGATCCCGTCCCCAAATAAAGGGTCAAAGAAGTTTTAGGGGTATAGCTCAGTGGGACAGCACCTGCTTTGTGTCTTTTGAGTCTCACTGTATAGCAATGACTGACCTGGAACTAACTATACCAGACTGTCCTCAAAGTCATTGGTCTTCAGAATGTTGGGATGAGAGATATCCATCACCATATCCAGTTTAGGATTTCCTAGTTCTGTGAAGAATGTCATTGGAATTTTCTTTTGGAGTATTGAGAATCTCTACATCACTGTGGTAGCTATACCATTTTCACACTGCTGAGTCTTGATCACAGGAAACCATTCCATGTTCTGTTGTCTATAATTTCATTTGCTGGGATGTAGTTGATGTATGTGTTTCTGAACACATGTGCATGTAGAGTCTCGGGTCAGTGCTGGATGTCTTTATCAATGGGTCTCTATCCTTTTTGAGTGAAGGGGCAGGAAAACAAGATACAAGATTTCTCATTGAACCCACAGCCCATGAATTTGGGTAGGTTGGGTGGCCAGTGAAGCTCCTGGAATCTTCCTGTCTCTACCTCCCCAGCACTGGAGTTTTTGAGAAATATACATGAAACATGTTGATGCTAGTCTTAGAGCATGGCTTAGGTTACATGGTGCATTCTCTCTAGACCTGACTGTCCAGATGTTTGGGTAGTCTGCACTCAATATCTCCATCCATCTGATAAGAACCATTTGTTTCCTTTTGGTTCTGTATTGTGGTGGTTTTTAGACAAGGTTTCTTAACAGACCATTGGCTGTCCTGGAATTCACTATGTAGCCATGATAGGTCTTAAACTTACAAACATCCACC